GTCCTGGAGCAATGATATCTGTACATTTTCCAACATTTGAGAAGTCGGTAAGTTTATCTTGTGTATCTTCAAGAGCTGCAACGGTCACAGCTTCAGGAGTGGAGGCAGGTGATGTGTTACAAGCATCTTGAGATTCATTACCAGCAGCTACCACTACGTGAATACCAGCTTTAACTAATGATTGAACAACCTTATTAAGTACATCGGATTTACCACCTCCTAATGACATGTTGACTACTGAATTTTTGTTTTTATTTTTTTTGTGTTGATCAAGAACAAAATTTAAACCGGCGATGACACCAGTGTTTGAACCGCTACCATCGGCATCAAGTACTTTGACGGCAATAAGAGAGACTTTTTTAGCGACACCAACGGTTTTTCCACCGACTATACCAGAAACATGACTGCCGTGGCCATTATCATCATTATCGGTATCACAACCTCTACCGTCACAGAATTTACCACCTATCTTAGCACGTTTTTCGAATTCAACATGTTTGATGTCAATACCAGTATCTACAATGAAAGCGTTTACACCTTGACCAGCAGTATCGGGGAAAGTGAAGGATCCATCTCCTGGGAATTTAGCTTGATCAATACGATCCAAATTTGGGAGGTTGGTTTTTACTGCTGTTCTTTTGAAAAGGTTGTTTGAAGGAATAACATAACTTGCGGTTACAACAGAATCTTCTTCGACAGTTTCGACATCGTCACGACCACTAAGTTCCTTTTTGACGAATTCAGGTGCGAAGTTTCCAGAGTAGCCTTGAACAGAATCCAAAGAGAATTTAAGGACTGTATCTTTTGCTTCACTTTTGGTGGAGAATTTATCAATCGAGTCTGTTTTTATATTCCAGCAATTCTTTAACCATTTGTCATGTTTTTTAACAGCGTTGATGCCAACTTCTGCGGTTTTTAAGACGACAATGTATCTTTTTGTTGAAGAAGTAGGATAATTGGTAGTTTTAAATGATGATTTGCATTGTTAAAAGGATGAATATGGAAGTGGGAAAAAGTTGGAAATAGACAATTTTTATCTAAATTGTATGTAGTGTTATATGTATGTATGTATTTTGTGGTAATTAAAATTATCTCTCAGAGATATTGAAATTATGTTTTTTGCTAATTGCTATTTCCAACCTCCGGGGTTAGTGAAGTTTTATTGGAGATGGTAGGAAGGAAAGAAAGGTTGTTTTATTTTTGTTGTTGAAAGGATAATATT